TAGATCATTTTCCAATAGTAGGAGGAGGAGCTACCCACTACAGGCTAAGAAGCGAAAATTCGGAAGGCAAAAAAATCGAAATTCCGCAAAGAGGAAGTGGGCGTGGTCAGAAGGTCGGAGCCCAGAGTGCCAATGTATAGATGCACAACTATGAGAGATCCTTTTGTGGAGGACGAATGTGAAATGAACGGCGTCATGAAAACTATGAAGCTCAAACTTGGGACAACTTCTTTGAATAGTGCGCGGAAACGTATCTGGGCCGGTACGGAACTTTTTTACTAACAAGTGTGTGTGAAATAGCAAAAGTGTGGAAAAAGACAAGGAATCCCAATTCAAAAAACATTTTGGAATGCCGTGACCGAGACGAGAAGTTTGCGCGAACGTTGAGGCGGCGCTTGTAACAGCAGCTGGAGCGGTCCAATTAACCTACTTCCCCAGTGCGAGGGGTCGGATTCGATTTGAAGAGTGTCCGATTTGAAATGAAAATGTGTTTAACCAATATAGCACTGTACATTACATACTTTATATTGTATACATGTTTCATAGTTACTCCACAAATGAGGCGATAGAACAGCGGATGCGTTCGCACATTTGTGGGGGTGTACGGGATGAGGGCTTCGTGTCGATAAGTTGCAGCCTGCTAGGGCGCTATCGGGGTAGTCTTCAACAAATGCGCCGCGCAACAACTGCTCTGGGATGAATTCTGTCCTGGTGGCCGTACTAGCCTTTGAAAAGAATTCTACAGGTCGTAGAATTTTATCGTGCCATGCCTCTAAACACCATAATTCACGCTAATCGTATGGGCGGAAACAGTAAACCGGCCCTAGTAAACTTGGTGAACCACACTTCGAGCTTTTCAATAGTGCCTTTGCCTTGGTTTTTTGCATCTTATCGGAATCGTTTCACCACTGTCTTGGCAAAACGATTCAAGTGTGATTGAACCGTCATCTTTCCTTGTTTCCGAAAATTGACCAGTCATTTTGGCATATTTGACAAGAATTTACCAGGTATTCAACATGAAAGAGAAGGCTTGCAAGGTGTTGACAAGGTTGCCCGGTGCCCACATGCACACAATTTATGAGATTTGGCATGCCGACAAGCATTTGCAGGCGTGCCCCCCCCCTCACCGAGGTTATTAGCGCATGTTCAACCAATGTACCTTATTCATTGACACCGTCATAGAAGCGGCGGATGCCGATGAGGGAGACACTTTGGTTGATTGGTTCCGCCCACACGGTAAGCGCGGACAGTGGATTAGAAA